TTGCAGGCGGCCCAAAAGAAGTTCATTCAAAAGCTGACATCCTGAAGTAAGTGAGATATCTTGGGACTATGCTGCATGGTAATTAATATTACAACCCTACTGAAGTCATATGTTCGAGTCAAAAGCGCATTTAAGGATTTCGGTTAACATTTCATGAGTTAACCCACCTACTGTGGATGGGCTGCTGTACCTCCGTCAGCCACTATGACCAATTTCATCACCAGCCAGTTGACAGGGCTGAGCAGTCGGCTATTGCAGGGAAGAGGGAATATAAGGTGAAGTCAACTATGAGGACTCCGGCTCCACGGCTCTGGCACATTTTACCCACTAAAATCAACTTAACGAGGTGTAATCTAGCACGACACGCTAAAGGTCGTAGTTTTAAAGTTTGCCAACTGACGGAATCACCGGGTTCTCAGGTCAGTACTGTGCGTTGGTGGCTGGCTGGAGGGTTAAGAGTCCGGTTTAATGACCTCTTTTCAATGTAGCTTCTATGGCCTCCCTCACATAGATGAGGTCTGAGCAGCCCACCTCATGAAAGCCTGACACATCTGCGGGAATCAAGTCATGTGTGGTACGCGTAAATGGATTGTTTAGCTTTTCCAGCTACTGCGTCCGAGTTCGCCCCCTCTCCTCCCGATTCCGTCTCGTCATCGGAGCCTGGTGCTTGAGATGTGTGAGAGTGCGATGGTCGAACTGTATTATTTCATGTATCTATTCTTTGATGCCATCTAATGGGCAAATCCATCCACTTCTTTTTATCCAATAGTGACCGAGCTGTGGCAACTTCCTGAATAGTACAAGACCATTGGAACTTATGGAATGTCACAATCTGGTTTTCTTCCTTTTGAGGCGTCTGTCAACTATCCTCTCGGACCGCCTTCTTTGCATGGCTCCCTGAATGTACATAGATTCTTATTATTTTGTCTAGCGAGCAACTTCGCTTAGTTAGTGCACCTAACATAATGACTGGACTATCGAATCACTGGCCGTTTGGACGGACACAGTTCCAGTTAATCCATAAAATTACATTCTGTCAATGCAAGCGTTAACTCGCAGTTTCAAAAATTTTAGTACAGAGACGTTGGCAAGAAGTGGGCCCGGATAGGGGCTCATAGTTACCTCATCCGTCTACATAATGGCTGTCAAGTACATGTTTCATATTTGCATTGCACCTCAACATTACTGACTGCAGCATACCTAATAACATTTCACTTTCCACATATATGATCTCTGAACTGACAAATGCGGCTGCCAATTGCATCAGAAGAGTAGTGACGGGAAATTACTTTCAAACTAATGAGATCATGGTCCCTCTACTCAAACTGAATTTTCTTATGCTGTCTTCAAATTCGCAATTGCCACGACAACTATGTTGTGGTAGTTGACATCGGATTGGCTTTATTTTCCCTACCGACCTCGTGGCACAGTGTGCTGTGCATATCTGGAATTAGGCATAGATAAGTAGTCTTTTTGCGAGTTTTTCGCAAACTAGATGCTAGAAAGATAAACGTTCCCTCTGAGTCGAGACACTTCATTTATTGCCCGTTCAGGAATTAGGCTGCCTATCGTTTTAAGCAGTTTGTTTTCTGTGTTAACATTCACTCTTCTCAAAGTCGTTCGCATTGGGTAGTATTAAATCTTATCCTGAGATGTGGCTGTTTTTGTTTACCAGAAATATTCTAGCCCCTTTGTTTGATATATTTATTAGAAAGACCTTATTCGCTGCTGCTTCTGAGGTTTATCCATATGTATATTTTTGATGCAAATTCTTCGAAATGCCGATGCCAATGGAACTAATTTATCTCACTTTGTAACTTGCATCCAAGTACCCACTTGTTCTTCAGTTGTAATGACCCGGTGAGAATCTATCGAACCTGTGTGTTGGCCGAATTGTCATCTGAATCAGCAAATGAGACATTTGCTGAATATTGCTAAAGGCAGTTTCATTCACCTAAATTGGTCAATGTGTTCTGGCTGGTTTCTTCTGCTAATCAAGGAACAGGATGCCGTTAGGTAATTTTCTTGAAATATTTAGGACGGCGTTTTTGAACTACGAGGTAGGCGAGATGGGAGGTAAATTAATAGAACCCTGCTAAATCCCGAAGGCCATCTATCAGTCAGGTCTCGCCTCACTTATCAATTCCTCTTCGATGTTACTTTTCTCCTAAGTCGTAACTTGCCGTCATTCGTCGGCGCTGGTTGCGGTCGTGTGTGTTCTTGTTCGACCTTTGTCTTTCCAGTTAAAAGCCAAATTAGTTAATGTAGTGGATCTCATCCTTCTGGCCATTAAAAGGTTTAGGATGAGATGTTCTGCAAGGCGTACGCAAAGACTTAAAATGCCCCGAGGTTAGACGGTGGACTGAACCCAGTGCCTTAAACAGGACAATAGTTCAGACTAATTCTAAAAGGCAAATAACGTTCGTAGTGCAACGTAGCTTCTCATCAACCGACAATTCGACCGTCGCTTCTGACGATGTCGATCCTGTGTCTCACAGCATGATGGGCGCAAGGACGATGACTTGGGAATTAAGTAGTTTGTGGTAATAGTAAATTTGCGCTGCATCTACCACACTCTCTTCTTTCTCCCCCTCCTGGGAGCGTTGTCAAGACAGAGTCAAGGAAATCGGAGGTAGGATCCGGCTCAGGTGGCTGGCGCGGCGTGAGCCTGCACCCAGGTGCGCCATCACACCATCACCCATGCAGGGCATGCTATGGGTGCGCAGTACGATAACGCGTGCCGGACCCTGGTTCGGTTCCCGTGTTAGCCCAGCACAACCCCCGCACGACCCGTTGTTGGGGGCGGTCTCGACCAGTTGGTTGGAATATCGCCTTAACTTTAAAGTGCCAGTCTTCGTAGATAGTGCAACGACATCAGTCCTCTTTCGTGGTACACGATCCGTTCACATTTCCTTCGTAGTTTGCATTTTCATAATACTGGCATACTAACACTTCACCAAGATCATCCTGTGCAGGTGGCAAACAATTGTCACAATATTATTGACGGACATCATTCCTTTCCCGTCCTCATGAGCGTATTTTCGTATAATGTAAGGTTCGAACAGTTTTCGGGGTTTTCCCATCCTCGAGAATGGTAAGTTGAAATTAGTTATTTTGCTTACAGTAGGACATTTTTGTTTTTTGTGTCCGAAAATCATGCGGGGTGCAGTGACCGATCTTCCTAACATTTCTTCTGTCTGAAATGACATCATTACAACTAGGGGTCATTTTCGTCTTGTCAAGTCTCATCGCATCTTAGAGGGTCAGAAAATGTGCGGGTATTCATAATCACCCCGAAAAACGGTTGCCTAACTTATCCGTACCGAGTTTCGTTGGTGATGAGACCCCCAACTGGTTCAGTGCAGCCCATTGTGAACTGAATATTACCACGACTGTGTGCTGGTGAACTGTGTTGACAGTGCACAAAACGTTTATATGAGACGACCGAGACCGACCTGAAGTTATTCAATTCCTTCGCACTCGAGCATTATGGACCACCTTTATGGAATCGCTGTTGTAGCAGTTGTACTTCTGATTGGCAAGTTAACTAGGGAAAAATCAATGGCACGTGATTAACATCCCTCTGCAATTGCATTGATGATTTCTCATTCACTTACTTTTATACCCTTCATAACTCCTAAAAACACAACAGAATTGATGGTAAGGAAGAGTTCTTACGCGCATATTCGTTTGCATCCATTAGGGAGTAGATTCCCACTGACATTTTCAATTGAACGTATGCGAGGGAAGCTGGGGAAAGCTGAATCCTTACAAACAATACGCAAGTTTATTTGGACACTAGCGAAAAGTTCAATCTGGGAACGATCACTTTTTTCCTAACGTGTACATCCATAAATGAAGCCGATAATGCTATCTCCAAAATGACGCCATCAAAATTTCGTACCGTATTTTTCTTCTCCAACAATAGCATTTGGATCGGTTCAGTATCTTGTTTCCTACTTATTTTTGGAGATTTTAATGACCCACTCAGAAGGTTGTTGTAATTCCGTTAATTCCTTTGGTGAGTTTCAGTCTGTAATGCACCTAAACACCACTGTTTGAATTGTCTGACAGTGAACACAGTTGCCCCAACATTCTCGTCTTCTTCCTTCTCCGACACTAGTCCAGAAACTCGGACTTTTACCACGCGAGTGCAGACCAAAATTCACGGATCTGTTGATCTTGGGTAGAAGTCATGTCGTTTTATGTTCCATCTCTATCCTCGTAACATATAGACTCGGGGGGCCCAGTCGTGAATACATAACATGTTTGTTGGGAGCAAACCAGTTCGCTAGCCCATTATTCTTCGTGACTTAAAACGTAAGGTTCACTGGCACAACATATGAATTACGGAAGAACTCCTTCAGCAAAATATTTAGGAATTGCACATCTAAAACACCGCTGAAGAGGCTGGGGAATTTTTTGCCTTTTGAAAGACAGGCTGGAGTGTGCAGCTTTCTATCTGCTGCTAGACCGTACAGCGTAAGAAATATGGCGTGTCTTAAGTTCCTTTTTAAAATGTTTTGTAAAATATTTTTCGAACTGCATGAATGAGAGCATCAGACTGCAGTGAAAACCGAAAGTTAGCAGAAGTTAAATCGCTCAACCAGACCTCATATGAAAAATAGAACTGACTCCTCATGGTTACTTCAGAAGTTACCACATACTGTAAACTTTATCATGTTTAAGTTCCTTCATCCTATGCTTGCTTTGTTGATTTATAGATTGTAGGGAGTTCAGGTTCATAACGAGGACGCTGATGGAAGGGATGAAAAATGTATGTGATTGCAAACACTTTTTCATGTGGCCCTAGGTGACAGTGTTTGCGCCTTCCAAAATGACAAAATGAAATTGTTTCACAATGCTTTTTGGCCAGTGGTTTTTTACTGTGGCCCGTCACATATGAAGTCGATGTCGTTTTGCGTAAACTGTCGGCCAATATTCGCCTGTCTTGTTCATGTTGGGGCTACTAATTCACACATTTTCAGCCGACGCGCTAGTCACCGGGTCCCACTATCTGACACAGAAGTCGGTGTCACGATGGCAAGCTGTTGCTCAGAGTCAGTCTCCTGCATACCACTTCTGGATTGAAGGCCAGCATACTTGATGAGAGCCTAGAAACAGGTTAATCAGAAGGTTGAACGAGGCTCTCATTCGAATATGCTCTCCGCCGTTCATGGTGCAAACTGAGCTTCGAGGGGCGGTGGCGCTGGCTTCAGCTCTTTTTGTGCTAAAAGGAGCATTTTGCGAGTTTAACTTGTTTAAACCTATGCAAGTCTAGTTTGGAAGTAAGTGAAAAACGTTTCCTTCATAGTCTAAAAGAACTGACTTGAAAGGACTTCCGAGTTGACCATCTAAATTATATCTCACAACTTACCAATATTTTTTCCAGTAATTTGCCGTTTCAAAACGACTGATCACTTTCTGTATGTAGTCAGGATATGCGCTAGGAAACTCGGCTAGATCGCAGTTGGTAGCCAGGCCCCGTATTACATGTGCCTGGGGGGTTTGCTTATTGTGGCTATTTTGTGGGGTTCCATAATCACATCTGACCCATTTGGCTTCCGTTTTACGCTTGAGGTTAGGATTACGGCACCGGTTAATTGTTCCCGATTTTCGGGTTAGGGTTATGCCTTTAGGCTTAGGTTTTCGGGTTACGGTTAGGGTTTGAGCGTACGATTAGGTTTCAGTATTACGGCTAGATATTTCATTTACGGCTATGCCCAAGGGCTACGGTTACGTTAACGATTTCGGTTACAGTTAGGGTTAGGGTTGCCGTTAGGGTTAACGGTTAACGTCTAAGGTTGAGGTTAGGGATAGGGTTAGGATAAGGGTTGAGGTCGCCGTCCGCTTTCCCATTCCTGGCTACCAACTGTGATCTAGCCGGAAACTCTTCTTATTGCCTCTTTTGCAAAGGGAGGACTTGAAACATTAAACTTTCCAGCTGTGGTTGGAAACAGTTTACCGAGCTATCTTACCGGAAACATTTGCGAATTGCTTCTAAGATTTGATGCAGATGCGGGTTTAAGATAAAGGCTGTTGGGTCTATTGCATATTAAAGTTGTAACCTCTGGCGGGCCAACACGTGTGGCCGGTATACCGCCGGCTGGTGATGACGAATATACCAAAAATGGTAGGGGGCTCTCAGCGATCGTTTTTACGGAACTCATTCGTTCCGTTGTGCCTTATGGGCTCTCTCTCTCTCGCGCCCAACCAGCAGCCGCACAGCGGCGCATGATATAGGCAGAATGGCATTACCGACATGGACAAGGGAGACTTGAATGGCCGTTTCTGGCTTATTAGCCAGTCATACCCAACCCCGAAGTGTGGAACACCCGAGGCTCGAACTCGCGACCTGTTAGTTACACCTCTACCATTGAAAATAAGTAAGATTCTTTGGGAAGGAAATAAACTTTAATGAGTAAATTTTCGAGTCTGGTTCCCCAGCTCGTCGTCAGACTTTTGGGCAATGTACAAAAACAGTTAACTATTTAACCGTGTCAAACAAGTGATTCTATGGTTGGCTGAAGCCTGCGCCAATGCGCGTCAACGATTTCGTCATTCCCTCGGCATTGGCTGCGCTCGCTTCCATTTGTCCTTGAGAAATTTGTATGTGGCATCTAGATCGATATGCCGATTGATGCATGCCTCATCTGAGTGCATTGCTTCCAGGAATTCGCGGCCTTTCCTTATTGGGCAGGCGCCAACAATGTGGGTGTTCTCCCATGCAAATTTGTGTCCAGTGTCCAGTGTGTGCATAGCCACCTGGGATAAATGATCTCGTCTCCTCACCGCTAACTGATGCTCATGTATGCGGGTAGAGGCGGATTTCCCAGTTTGGCCACAATACACGGCATCACAACTGGAACATGGTATCTTGTAGACAACACCTTTCCTATCAAGATAGCCAACCCTGTCCTTAGGGTGTACAAGCTGTGTACGCAAGGTGGTTGTAGGTTGGTGTGCTACGTGTATCTGATGCTTTTTCAGTTGTCTTTCGACGAGTTCAGATACATTTTTGATGTATGGGAGGGTCCGCCAGGTGAAATTTTTTGGTGCTTGGGCGGCCGCTGTTTTCGAAATACCTTTCTGTTTAAACTCATGTTTCATGCAATGATGCACAAAGTGGCGCGGGTAGCCGTTGTGGGAAAATAATTTGAAAAGGTATTTCACTTCTGCTTGATAACTTTCTTCATCAGAGCAGTGTGTTTTAGCTCGGTTTAGTAGGCTGTATACAGTACTCCTCTTGTGAGAGATGGGGTGGTTACTCTCAAAGTGTAGGATGACCTCGGAGTATGCTTCTTTGCGATAAACTGAAGTCTGAAGGGATCCATAAGTTTTTCGGCATACGAGGGCATCTAGAAATGGAAGCTGTCCGTCAACCTCTGTTTCAAATGTGAACTGAATTCCTGGAAATGTGGAGTTAAGATTCGTGTGAAGTTGGTCTAATTGGTTTCTCTTGGCAATGACAAATGTTTCATCAACATAGCGTAGCCATAGTTTTGGATTAATTTTTGGAAGGGCTATAGACTCCAGTTTTTGCAGTATGGCTTCTGCTAGAAAGCCAGATATAGGCGAACCCATAGGAGCACCTTTCAGTTGCCGATAACATTGTTTGGCGAAAGAAAAGTTGGTTTCTAGACAAACATCAAGTAGTTGGAGTAGAGCGTCGGCAGGCACATCAGTGGTGTAAGTCTGAAGGAGTTCTTCGGTGCAGTGTCTCGCTAAATCTAATGGAATCGAGGTGAAGAGGGAAACTACATCAAATGAAACCATTATCTCGTCGGTAGCAACACTCACTCCTTTTAAATTGTCTAGGAACTCATTTGAATCTTCAATGGAGTTCTCAGAGTCCTTTGTAAGTGGATGCAGTTGGTGAAATAACCACTTAGAAATCTTGTAGTTTGGTGCACCGATTAAGGAGACTATTGGTCGCAGTGGAATACCTACTTTGTGAACTTTAGGAAGTCCATATATTTTGGCAATTGTGGGTTCGTCTTGTTTTAAGGATTTAGCCAGAACTCCTGAGATTAATTTCTTTCCTGTAAGGCGCTTTAGTGTTTTCTCGATGCATGGATTCTGCGATTTTGTGGGGTCCACATCTAGGGGTTCGTAGGTGGATTCATCTTTTAATAGTGTCATCATCTTCTCTGTGTAATCCGTCTTGTTCATTATGGTGGTGGAGCCTCCTTTGTCAGCGGGCAGAATGATGATGTTTTCATCAGTTTTAAGTGAATTTAGTGCTTTCTTTTCATCGCCAGACAAAGTTGAGAACTTGTTTCTGTTCTTCAAGGCCTGTACCGTACTGTTGCGAATTGTAAATTGTTCTTCCTCTGTAAGACCTGCCGAAGTTATAATGGATTCGAAGCTGGCAAGGAATTTCAAGTAGTTGGAGTCAGATGGATTGTACTTCATTCCTTTGCTCAGCACGTTCTCTTCGGCTGTCGTCAGTACTCGTGATGACAAGTTTATAACTTTCTTTGAGGATGAAGAGTCATTGGAACCTTTTCTAGAAATGGCCATCCATTTTTTGTCCAAAACATTCTTCTTTTTAAGACGCTCTAGTTCCGAGACATGTGTGATGGTTTCCTGTAGGGTTTCAAATACCTGGGGAGGAAGTCGGTCAATGCAAGATTGCCTGTGTTGTTCTTTCTGTTCTGTGAATTTACGAAGTCGGTGGTGCGCGTCAGTTATGAATGCTCCAAGCATTTGTTGACCATAACGGATCGCAATTTGATAGCCTTGGGTTGACTTTATCGCAGGCTTTATCCGCACAGACTTCGGAAGAATCTTGTTGTTACGACAACGGTGCAGGAAACTTAACTGCTCTCGCGTCAGACTTTCGCGAATTGTACATTTTTCCCATCTTCGAGCGTTAAGCAAAACACTGTGCTCAAAATTCATGCGTATGTGCTGGAAAACGGGCATCCCAAGAAATTTAATTGAAAATAAGTAAGATTCTTTGGGAAGGGAATAAACTTTAATGAGTAAATTTTCGAGTCTGGTTCCCCAGCTCGTCGTCAGACTTTTGGGCAATGTACAAAAACAGTTAACTATTTAACCGTGTCAAACAAGTGATTCTATGGTTGACCGTAGAATCACTTGTTTGACACGGTAAAATAGTTAACTGTTTTTGTACATTGCCCAAAAGTCTGACGACGAGCTGGGGAACCAGACTCGAAAATTTACTCATTAAAGTTTATTCCCTTCCCAAAGAATCTTACTTATTTTCAATTAAATTTCTTGGGATGCCCGTTTTCCAGCACATACGCATGAATTTTGAGCACAGTGTTTTGCTTAACCTCTACCATTGTATATTCCTGATCGACAACCGACAGGGCAACGGGCTCGTGGCCCAGTGGTTGGAGGCGTGGACTTCTAACTAACAGATCGCGAGTTCGAGCCTCGGGTGTTCCACACTTCGGGGCTGGGTATGACTGGCTTACGACGGCTAATAAGCCAGAAATGGCCATTCAAGTCTCCCTTGTCTTTGTCGGTAATGCCATTCTGCCTATTCCAAAAATGACGACTACACTGTTCCCGTTTCGTCCGCAAGATGCACAACCGACATTTTGTCGAATCCGCGAGAGATAATGACAAGGGTGCTATTCTTGCCCACCAGAGTACAGCGACTCAAGCACTTGGAGTCAGCAAGAAGGAGCTGAACCGATGAGTTCAGCATTGCGAACGGTACTTTACGAGATGTGCGGAAGACGCCCACTTTCCAACATAAACGGTGTAGAGCGACGAGGCCACAATCAAATCAAGTGTTTCGTCTAACTGTCAAAATTTCATCTACTAGGACCATGACTAAATGCTTGCTATGTTGGAACATCATGTCACTTGAACAAGTGCTTGCGTGTGCTATGACTTAACATCAAAATGACTAAGTTGATTGCATTTTATGCCATTGTACTTGATCCAGTTTACTTGAACTTGTTACTGCAGTCTGTCATACCAAACGTCGGACAGGTCTTTGAAGATTAGGAGTTTTAGTTTCAGTAAGAGAGACCACTTCCACTTTCCCTGAGGGGTCCTTGTCAAACACGTGCAACAAACGAAGGGATTTCAGAGGAAATCCACTCTTTCCAGGGGATCCTTTAGCTAAAAACTTTTTATATAGGGGTCCTTTAACGAAAGGTCTAGGCTACAGAACAGACAGTCATTGAACAGGAATAGACTCAAGTATCAAATCCATGTTTCTTAATGCATACGGTTCCATTACTTTGCGTCATCATCAGTGCGGCAGTTTGAAAACCGACGTTGAAAAACAATTCAAAAATACCTGTAGACTGTAGTGCATTTAGAGAAGGAAATGCCTTTCAACGCAGCCTGGCTATAAAATTATCAAAATCGTGCATATTTTGGGACGTCTTATATGTGAAAATTCCATCAGTTGGGCGGAAATGTGAGTCTTCTGATAAATCGGACGGACTTGCCAACAACTAAACTCCCAGAAACTGGCAGTCCATAATGCAAATAGAAAGTCAAGCACGCGTCTTTGAGAGTACGAACATACAGAGGGATTACACCTATGGCAGTCGGTATTTGTTAGCCAGACTTATGGACTCTTGGGCACCTCCATCCAAAATGAGAGCCAGAAGCACTCGCACGGTTTTATAATGACAAGCCCCATATAAATCCATTTAAGAAGACTCCAGTTAGTATATTAGTCCCTGTACTCTGGCTGAGGCGACTCCGGTCTCGTACGTTTGTTTTGTCTACTTATCATGGCTGAAATAAGGAGATCCTGTAGTCAGAGCCTCCACTCGAAGGATGTTTCTCTGTCTCCTGTGACGTTGTTGTAGAGATGTACTAGAAGTACTAGTGGAAACTACCCACATGTCCATGAATTTGCACAATGCTTCCACTTTTTGCCCGAAATAAGCCTTTGTGCTGACGCGGTCAGCTTGAGTATGGTTTAACTGGTCCTTTCAGCTAATCATTTTCAAGTAGTCTGTATTCTTTGAAATGGGTCATACCCCCAGGGCGAAGACGTTTGTGATACCAAAAGAGAGTTGGAGTACAATACTGTTTATGGAAAACAATATTCAAATAAGGTAATGCCTATATATAAATGCTATGCAGTGGGTCTTACATTCCAGGTTGCAATGTGTGCATTTTCAATATACATATGGTCAGTGTTTGTTGTCCTTAATTAAGTGAATGTGTGCTTTTGAGGCTATGCGCAAGGTCTAGTTCATCCCGCTGTTTTGTGCTTCGGGGTGACACAGACACAGCCGAGATTATTGATTGATCGGAATTCCGTGGAAAATAATTTGGAGCTGGCGCATGAGGATGGTCTAACGGTCGTCCCCGCTGTGATAGCAATAGGAGTGTCAGGCGTACTTTGAAAAGATAACCGGAGATGTTCTAATCCCAGGGTCTTTCTAATTTACAATGTGCTAGGGACGACATGTCCATGCTGCCTTGCAGGAAGACCGGATTCACACTGTCCGTCTGAGATAGGGCTGCCGCAGTGTTAGGTCCTGTGCTGGCTGTTTGTGCGGAGTCGCCACTGTTGGATTGTGTCGACAACAACGACCTGCCTGCAGAACTCCCTTCAGCTGCTGCTGCTGCTGCTGCAGGTGATGTCTGTCCACTGTCACCAAGGACAGCTGTATTGTCACCAAAGAGGGCAGTGGGGAATCCGCTAGCTAATGACACCGACGGAAGCATTCCGAATGGAAAGGGTAGACCGGAGAACAGTGCGGTGGCCAAATGCGGCGGCCACTCCTGACCGGAGTGCGTTAAAGTCGCCGCTGTATTTGGTGGAGGTAGCGACGGTACCAACGATGGCATGTTGTGACTGGCACTGTTGATAGTGTCCCTCCCCTTGGCTAAACAACCCTCCCCGGAATCCCTGTCCTGCTGCTGACCCGAGCGTATATACGGCGGTGAGGTGAGGGTTTGACTGCCCGCCGAATCGCTGCTTCGTTTGCCGTAGAAGGTATTCTCAAATCCACCCTCACCTACCTCTCCAAGCGAAGTTCTGTCAAGTGACCGCAATCCAGCTTCAATGGGTTGCGAGTCGGGACGAGTTTCGAGGGACGCGGAATCATTTGAAGTGGATTTTCTCACTGAGGAAGTCGAAGACTTTCCAAGGCAAGCAGTCACTTGTGCCGCCTTCACTGTGGCCATGTCGGCAGCGCTCTTTTTGCGCCACTTTGTTCTTCGGTTTTGAAACCACACCTGCGGGTAGAGACACAACTGGTAAGAAAACACGTCTCAGTGAAATACACAGTCTAATGATTTCAACTTCGTTGGACTGAAAATGCAAACCACATATTCAAACGTGGAACAATGGTTCTGCAAATAATTATGTCTTCATGCATACATATCTTAAACCCTAGCTGCTTAGATGAAATTCTTCAAATGTATTAACCGTATTGGTCTGTACTCCCATTTGGGTTAAAGATAATCGTAGTTCAGCGATAGGCAAATTTAGGGATAGGTCTGCGCCTGGCGGAGGTAGGTACTAATTAATTGAGGAAATAACGCAGGGGGAGGGGGGAAAAGTGCTGTGTTTGGAGCAGTTTATGATGAACGTGCGGCTCATGGTTTACCTCCTATGGTCACTCCCCTCCTCCCGCATGCCGTCCCCGCGTTCCCTCGCTGTCCATTCGAAATGGTAGGGCGATGCTATAGGGCAATCGATCAATATGCCAAATTTTCGGCCTATTGCCTTAATCATCTAGAGGGCCTCCGCTTGTTCTCCTCTCTGCGTTTCTTTATGCCCGTGTGTGCATCGTGTTCTTTCGCAGGCTGTGGACGTCGTTTGCGTGCGTCCTGGGTTTGATCACACGATGCCTGGCCCTTATGGCTTCCGCTTAATAGGCCTGTTCATTGAAGCCAAGGTGGAGGGGCGTGGACCGGTGATATTGCCTGACAACTGTCGAATCCCAACGCCACGCCACTAGGAGATAGGCAGCAGCTGTTCCGTTACATTAAAGCAACAAATGCCCGCTGATTTCCTCCCCACCCCACCCACCGGTCTCCCTTCCTTCGGTCCGACCATCCTGCTAGTTCCTCCTACCCCCGATTAAAACCGGTCCATAAGTGCATGTTGGGAAAACTAATTTTGTCTCCATAGTTGACAGTGTCAAATTTAAATGCCATCTATTAACAGCCGAGGGGCTGTACAGCTGGCCCATCCTAGCTCTGTAGCCTGAAAGCGACACGATAAAAACGCTGCTGCCTATTGGCCTCCGGGGCTGCCTGAATCAGCGAACAAGCTGACTAGCTTACGTCTTTCATTAGAAGAATCACAGCCTCCACGGCTTCACTATGCTTTGCATGCAAATAACATTTTGATAGTAAAACTTCTGATAAACAGAAAATAAGTTTAAATTTACACAGGACTACAGGCAACCAACATTCACTATTAAACAGCCACAAACGCTTAGACCTCATCATTTCTAGTCATATGCACAGATTAAGTAGAAACTCGAGCAAAACCGACCAGAAACTCGAGGGTAGTTGCAAACTAAACTAATTACTTGGCAGAGGTCCAAAACGCGGCCGCACTGGTAAACGGAGAACTCTAAACCCTAATCCTAAATAATAACTCTAAACCTAACGCCAAACCTTGAACCCCAAGTCTAAATACTAACCCCAAACCTTAACTCAAAACCCTAACCCCCAAGTACTAGGCCAAACACTAGACCCTAAACCTCTAACCGTAATTCTAAACCCTAACAATAAACAGA